AGGGGCTCTCTCGTAGTATCCGTGTAATTCACTTTTCTCCACCCATAACTCGTTTATCAGGAGCTACCATCTCCGTGAAGTATAACTTAAGGCCACAATAGCAATGGGGACCAGTTTTCGCGAATTCTATGTCGTGACATTCAGATACTAGCTCAGTGAAGTAGGAAAATTTATTATTTGTATAATACTTGTTCCACCTTTGTTTTAGAAGAAATTTTGTGCTATGAAAACATTACATATGTGGAAGAAGAGTACTAGTCTATGCTAGAAGCGAATATTTAGTCCAAGATCTATTTTCGACGCTATGAATAAGCGGTTTTGCTATGTCCCTAGAAGAAACAGTTGCGTTGGCGGGATAAGATGAAGAGGAATAACGAGTTGGGAACTCTGATTTTGAAATATCAACGCAGTAGCTAAATCTTGTTTAGTCACATTTTTTTACGAAAGGTAAAAAAATGTGACTAAACATTCATTTGTTGTTTGTATGTTTTTAGGTTGGTGACTATGTGTTATCGCCAGGCATAGCAGTTGAGCGCAAAGCTCTTGACGATTTGACGCAATCATTGCAATCTGGACGTGTATTCAAGCAGTCTGAGCAGGTAAGTCTTTTATTACAAAAATCCCTCTTTATCTGAGTAGACGATGTTTCAGATGTTGCGACACTATGCGAATTCAGTACTTCTGATAGAATCAAATCGAAAATTTGAGTCGAAAATCGTCAACGGTGGTCCATTTCAGGTAATGCGCGTAGCTCTTATCACATGAGTTTTAAGTAAGGAGAAATTTCCTCAGGGTGAATTGACCCGTCACTGTCGCGAAATTCGAGCACTACTCTGCTCTTTGCTACGAGCGACGCCAAAACTCAAATTGATATGGTCCTTGTCGCCAGCAAACTCAGCTGAATACTTTGCGGAACTGAAGGTAACAATGTGGGATCGTTTCGAGCTCACTACCATTTATTTTGAAAATATGAGGATATTTGATTTGTTTAAGAGAATTAGTTTGTAAGTAGCGACTTTTGGATACAGGTGAGAACGATTTTTAAATTTAATTTTCAAATAGATTGAGCGATTTAAGTGTGTGTTAGTCAATTTTTGAAATAACGTCGTCATTTGGAAATATTTCATAACCTTGATATGCGGAAGTTTGTATTCAGATCGATTTGAAACTGAGAATCTAATAATATTC